ACTGACACGTGGCTGGTCATTCACTGCAATGGACAACACAACAAGACTGAGCTACCAGGAAAACTTATTACGGAAATGTAATTAAAATAAAATAAATCAAAAGCATGACAGCCCTACCATGCTTAATGTTAATTGGATATATTTGAAAAATTCAAAAGTTTGGTAACAGATAAATGGTCTCGTTCTTGGAGAACGGCCAAAAATAAAGTGATACAGATGTGAGTTCTCACCAGGTTCTGTCCTGGTGGAGGCTACAGGCATGGTAGAGCCTCAGTCAATCTGAGAGAGAGAGAGAGAGAGAGAGAGAGAGAGAGAGAGAGAGAATGACAGGTGGAGGGAATCATACAACAAATACACGTGTGAAACTTGTGCCAAATCAAACATGTGATCAATGTCATGTGACTGTGAACTGAGACGAAGGCGTGTAGAGACGTACGGAGAGAGAGAGAAGGTGAGGGCGAGCAAGAGGGAGGATGAAAAAAAAGAGAGAGAGAGAGAGAGGGGAAGAAAACAGGGTGAAGGGAGGTGAGGTCTGTGAAGGACACTCATTTACATATCACCATGACAACAGACACAAATCAGAAATTTAGAGACGACGATAAACTTCAGCAGCAGTTGGACTGACGTCACATTATGTCAAGATGAAAGACTTTTGGTCTTTGAACTTTAGTGTCTGACAGGAGATCTGGGAGAATAAATAAAAAAAAAACTCTTTTTTTTTACCTGTATTTAAAAACGCTCCTCAGAAAGTGCTGGGTTTTTTTTTTGACGTCAGTCATTCTGTCAGACGTGTGTGAGGACTTGGTGTTAAATACGTCCGTCTACACAGAAATATAATTAAAAATGATGTCTGACAGAAGAAGACGGTGATAAAAATAGACACCTGAGCAACTAGAACAACACACACACACACACACACACACACTAATTACTGATCTCACTCTGCTCCATCTGTTACCTCCATCCTTCACCTGGTTTCACCTCCTCCTCCTCTTCCTCCTTCCTCATTTCCCTCACCTCCTCTTCCTCTTCCTCTGTGTGTTTTACTACATTATTGTTCTCCAACCCCCCCCCAACACATCAGCCCTTAATGCCCCCCCCCCCTCCACCCACCGCCCCCCCCCCCCACCCCTCCCCCCCCCCCCCCCCCCCTCGGCACACCCGTGTGTGTGTGTGTGTGTGTGGTACCCCGAGCCTTTTTATGCTGCGTTCACTGACATCCAGACTGTGATTTTTAAAGCTACAATACGACATAATCCTAATCCTAATCCATGTCCTGAAACTAAACAGGAGGCTCCTCATCTGGGGGAGACCTGCAGATTATCCTTTCAATGTTGTTGTTGTTTTTACAAATCTCGCCTCACATCCCTGTACACACACACACACACACACATTCATAGAGATGACATGTAAACACACACACCACAGCAGCTCGACCACAAACATATGCTATTATTTAAAAAGATGCGCGGGCACATCTACGCAGGCGCGAGCACGCGCCTTTGTCAGCCTCCCGTCGCTGCTCTGTTCTCATCTCTACACTAACGAGCCGCGGTTATGACGAGACATGTTCAGCGTCCGCTGTTTCAAATAAATGATTGATTTTTACGTTGAATTAAAAAACAGAAACAAACACGAACTCACCCTTCGGTACGAAAAAAAACCCCAAGACTTTCGCGCTGCTTCGGTTGAGTCGTGCGCGTATTGTTGTCGTCTGGTTTCTCACAGTCGTCAGCGTCGAGAACAGCGTCAATTACAGCGGAAGAGCCACACACGACTTCCGGCAAAAAAATAAAAGCTTCCCCTAAAAAGTCTAAAAAAAAAAAATCCCAAAATTGAGTAAAAGTGCAATTTTTGCCCAAAACATGCAGTAAAGCTTAAAAAAAAAATCATATTTTTTAGGAACTTTCACCTTTGATCATCACTGACATCCAATAATTTCCCACAAAAGTCTTAAAAAAATAAAATGTTTCCAAAAATGAATAAAAATGCACTCAGTTTCCTAAAACATGAAGCTACACCTGATTTAATGTTTAAAATTCAGAAGAAAAAAAATGTTTTTGGGAACATCTGCACAAATAATTTCACAAAAAATGTCTTAAAAAATAAAATAATTACATTTTTGTTTCGTATATTAATTCAACACAAGATAAAGTAACGTGTTGTTTTAACATCAATGTTTTGTCATTATTGACATTAACTGTGATTAAAGCAACAAAGAACCGATCGACAATGACAGGGTCGGAGTGGGAGCCAATCACGTGACGACGTCGGCTCAGGGTCAGACGGATCACACACTTCACACAGCAGTGTTGGGTCAGACAGGATGTTCTACTCTCTGGTGGTCTGCACGGTTCCTCTGCTCTGCTGTGCAGGTACTGGTACTGTTCATCTTCAGTACTGCGTGTGTGTGTACTCCAGGTACTCACCTTTGTAACTTGTCTTTTCTCTTCCAGCCTGGGAGGTCCGACAGACCCCCGAGGTCCTGGTGCAGAGGGGCGGGTCGGCTCACATGCACTGCAGTCAAAACAGACACGGTTCCCTCGTTCACATGGACTGGTTCCAGCAGCCGTCAGGATCAGCGCTGACCATGGTCGCCCAGACCGTGCCCTACAATTCGCCTGTTTTTGCCTCCACTGGGGGGAAGGGCAAGTACTCAGCCCACAAGAAGTCACCCTGGAACGGATCCTTCACCGTGAACCGCGTGGAGCAGAGCGACGCCGGGGTTTATCTGTGTGTGGTTTGCTGCCACAGTGATGCAGAAGCGCCCCCCCGCTGCACAAAAACAACAACCAGTCACATCACACTCGGCGTCTGAGCAGAATCCCACGCTGCACCTGTGTTCCTCAGAACAGTGAAAGTGTTCAGTTCTAGTCCAGTCGGAACCAGATCGTAGTTTGATTTTGGTCATTTTTTTTGTATTTTTGAGTCACCCGCTCCAGCAGAGGGCAGCCAAGGTGTTGACTCAACATTGGTCAACATTGGTTTCTCTGCGTTCCTCCCACTCACCTGACACTGGAGTCCAGTGGAGTTCAGGTGCTCGTCCCAATCCGACAGGTCTTGGTCTTCACCGCTGCCTGATGAGTGCTGCGATCGGTCCACGCCCCTCACAACGACCCGTTAAAGAGATTAATGATGAATATTAAGCACTGCTTTAACTCATCACCGGCTTTTAACTTCCTTAACCACCACTGCCCGCTGTATCGGTTTAGGTTGATATTGGAATAGTTTCAACAATATCAAATAAATAAATCAAACACAGGAAAAAGGCCTCCAGACATGAGTTTAGAATCTTCATGAGTTTGGAAACACGTCAGGAAGTTGATGGAGAAAAAGATGGAGAAAAAGACTTCCTGTCCTCCAGACCCAGACCTGGAGAGAGATGAACTGAACCTGTCACAAAGGTTGGAGTTTTCCCAGCATGCATCAGTAGGACCAACCCGCCCCTCCTCTCTGTGGTAAGCACAGCTACGTCTGAACCTCCTTCATTTCCAGCTGCAGCCATGGGAACCACGTCTCCAGCCTGGACTGGACTTCTCCTGCTTTGTTTGACCTCATGTAACGTTTCCAGTCGAAAAACTGACCTGAGATCAGCTGTCACGGTGAAGGTGGGATGTCTACAGTTTGTGAAATGCTTCTTCTTTTTTTTTTCTTTCTTCCCACAGATCCAGTCAGGTGTGAGAGCCTGACGCGGTCCAAGTTCATCGTTGTCAAAAGAACGGAGACGCTCCAGATCCACTGCAGCTACAACCACCTGACAGGCACCGTGATGCAGCTGATGTGGTTCCAACAGAAAGAGGACGGACGGTTGACGTGGGTCGGGCAGGTCGACAGCACGGGTCGGAAGGAGTTGAACCCTGAATTTTCAGAAAATGTCAAGATTACCACTGAGGTGACAGGAAACACGACTCTGATCATCTACACACCGTCGTCCTCAGCCGTGTATTACTGCGCTGCACGTACACAGTGAGGAGCCTCGGTTTGAGCCACTGACAAAAACCCTCTCACAGATACTAAATATTTACTGTGTTCTCCATCTGGAATAACAACAATAATAATTCTGAAGATTAAATATTAAATATTAAAACACAGTTCCCAAAAAATGCTTAAAAAAGAAAAAACTAATGTGTGATGGATCTGAAATGAGGAAAAAAAAAGTTTTTTGAACTTCATTGATTTTTAAATAAAGCGGAACGATTTCACCTGTTTTTTTTCTTTTTCTTCTCACTCATTTCAGAATCTCATGTTTGTAGAATCTGACTGAACGTCAACGTCGTTCAGGGCCATATTTAACTAATCATGACTTTTTTTTATGATCTTTGTTGATCCCACTCTGCACTGAGACACCGAGTGTGTGGTTCACAGAGAAGACAGATGGAGGCTGGGGGGGGGGGGGGGGGAAGGGGGGGGTCCGTTGGTTTTTTCACTGTGGTGATGATTTAGTCGACAAGTCGTTTTCCTTCGGTGACGGCACCAAGGTCACAGTTTTAGGTAAGAAAACGTCTTTTACAGAAAAATGCTGTTTATCTTCTGAGAAACTAGTCAAGGTTTAGGTTAGTTTAGGTGAGGTTAGGTTAGTTTAGTTAAAAAAAATGTCTTTGTAAAGTCCAGTGCCTTCACTTTTTAAAATTCCTTCAGTAGAATATATGTTTTTCTCCTTTTAGTTTTATTTATTAACCAGGATCAGAGGAAGTCACAGAAATATGTCACATAAAGCTGGCATGGCCAAACTAAGGCCCGGGGGCTGGATGTGGCCCTGCAATACCCAGCTGCATACTGCAGCATGTTAGCCTTTGTTTACATATAATCATATGTATACAATGTTACATATATATAAACAAATAAATATATATACATAAGTGTATATATTTTACTTGTGTACACATATATTTATATATTTTTATTTGTGTACATATATGTTTATATGCATGTTTATTCATAAACAGTATACATATGTATATATATATTTATTTGTGTATTTAAAAATATATATATTTTTATTTGTGTACATATGGTTATAAATAAACATGCATATATAGATATATGTACTTTTTATTTGTGTACATATATAAATATATATATATATATTTCTTTGATTAGGTTTTTTTTCACCCTTACCTGACAGAGTCACAGCGCCCCATCAGGCCACCGACCGTCACTGTTCTCCCCCCGTCAGTGAAGGAGTGTCAGGACAGAAAAGACGGGCGAAACAAGAAGACCTTAGTTTGCGTCGCCTCGGAGTTCTACCCGGACCACGTGGCCGTGTCCTGGCTGCTGGATGGAGAAGACGTCACAGGTGGTGTTGTGACCGACAGCGCCGCCCTGTGGAGAGGAGAGCATTACTACATCACCAGCAGACTGAGGGTCCCACTCACCCAGTGGTTCACGCCGGGCAGGAACTTCACCTGTCTGGTCAGCTTCTTCGACGGGCACCAGACTGTGTACCGGTCCAACTGGGTCACAGGCGTGGAAGGTACCGCGTGCACACACTCGGAGAAGTTGTAGAACAGGCGTCTGCGACCTTTGACCTCTTAAGCTCCAGGCAGTTTTTCTTCAGTTTTCTGATGGAAAATCACATTCCTGAAATTTATGATCAAACGTTAACGATGAGATTTTTTGTGATGAATTTTTCTGCTTGTGTTTTATTCTGTCAGGACCAGGAGCCGAGGCTATCAGAGGTAAAAGACACCAACGTCTCCACGGTCAAAGGTCAAGGCCTTTATTTTCTTATTGTCATTTTTTTGCAGATAAATATTTGAAGATCAGCCGCAGCGTTGAACTCTCCTACCTGCTGTTGATCCTCAAAAGCAGCCTTTACGGTACTACTACTACTACTACTACTACTACTACTACTACTACTACTACTACTACTACTACTACTACTACTACTACTACTACTACTACTACTACTACTACTACTACTACTACTACCACAAAATATGATTTCTCAAATTGTATATTAAATATTTTGACACATTTGACAAAGGTGTGTCTTTGTCTCTCTGCAGTTCAGGCCTGATCTGGAGAACGGAGGATCGGAGCGCTGACGTCACCGACGGCTGCTGTTTTTTTTCTTCTTAACCATAAAGTTAATAATTAAAAAGAACATGAGAAAATTAAATGAGAGAAATTGTCATAATTAAACCCGTGAATCACCAACCACCCAGTGACGTCTGAAGGATCCGTGGAGTCACGTGACACCGTGGAAATAAACGGAATCAAAACACTGTGAGATGAACCGATCTGTGAATATTATCACGTTAATTCCAAAGTTTACACCTGTGAGACGTGTGTTCCCCCAGACCCTCTCTCTCCCTCCCCCCTCTCCCCCTTCCATGTGAGAGTAAAGACTGAGCGGAAACGTTGAGTTGCTCATCAGTTTGTTTTGGGAACAAACAGATCGTTGCTGGTTGGTGTTGACTGAACTGAAGTGGGTCAGCGCCGCCGCAGCACAGCCTCGTTTTCCATCAACTGTGAGTGTTCAGAAAAACGCACACAACTGTGAGTTTGACGAACACGTCTGGTCGTCACGAGGCTTAGTTTGAAAGTGATGCCACCACAGAAACACAGGAAATGTGGGGTTTTTCTGTCACTACAGCAGAATTAAGAAGAAACTGTGGCCTGAAAGTTTTGGGAGAATTTGCTGAGGCTGAAGAGGAGGAGGAGGAGGAGGAGGAGGAGGAAGGGGAGGATGTGGTTGATCTGTGTGATCTAAGAAACAACTGAGATGCAGTTTCTTTTACCACAGCTTTTTTTTTTTTGTGGAGGACACCTGCAGAAAAAACAGAGTTTTTGAGTGAAGAAAATGAGAGTGAAACCAAATCAGTGGCTTTAACAACTTTTACTTTTGAACGAGAAAAACGTTGATTTTATTGTTAAATATCGTGTATCCACATATATGTTTATGTAATTATGTTATATTTGTTATTTAATAGGAGAGAAACGGACAGGGAGAGAGGAGAAGAGACCGGAGTGAGATCGTCGCTCAGCTTTTCTAATCAACATCTTCATCTAGTGGACAGATTTTGTTTTCACGCCCATGACTTTATATCTTCTCCACCTGCAAAAAAACTTGTTTTCCTCTGTAAAAATGTGATGACCGTCAAGTTTTTCTTTGACTTAAACTCACTCTCTTTCATCAAACACTCAATCGTCCAGTCAGAAACTTTCTGGAATCTAAAAAAATGTCTAAACTCTGCCGTCACCTCACACTTCCTCTGAGCTTCACTCATGTTTCAGAGTGAATAAATACGACACATAAAGATACTGTTTTATATTTAACATATAGTGAATTAGAAATACAACAAAGAAAAACTGACCGAAGTGATTTTGTCTCTCGTCCAATGAGAAATGAGAACATACTGTCTGTCACTGTGAGGTCATTCTCTCCGACGCTTCACGCCTGCTCTCAGGAGCGTGGGCTCTGGGTTTGAGACTCGCTGTCCCAGTTCTTCCCTCGGTTCCTCTGCCTGTTCCTCTCTGCCATCACAATGGCCGCCACCACGGTGACCATGACGGTGATGGCGTTGACCAGCACGGTGGCCGTCTCCGCCATGCACAGGTGACTGTCCAACCAGGACAGCGACGCTCCGGTCAGCTGAGGCGGATCCTGACACGTCACGTTCCTGTAGTCGTCGATGTAGAGGTGACGGACGTGGAGGATCTTACTGAAGACACGGTGCAGATCGCAGTCGCAGGTCCAGGGGTTTCCTGAGACAAAAGGACAGAGTGGACAGACGCAGATATGAAAACAAAAACTCAAATATCATGAACCAATGAGAGCGACTCAAAGAGGACTAGAACTTCTGGACAGACGGGGCAGATCCAGTGGGTTTGGACGTCACCGACCTGACAGATGGATGTGAGTGGCTGTTGTGTGCAGACTGACGAAGTGAGACTGAGGGTAAAGGTCAACCGCGTGTAATAACCATAGCATAACGGCTGCCTGTTTCTGGTGTCTCTCCAGGTTTAAGGCAGCATGCTGCCCTCTAGTGGATAATATAGATGCATCAAAAGCAAAGACAAACACTTACACTGTGTGTGTTGAATGAGTCAGACTGATGTAAACACACACACAGCTTCTGGTTATAAATCCTCACCTCTAGTCCAGGCAGCATGTCCAGACTGCCCTGCTGCACCACAGACAGTCTGTTGTTGTGCAGGTACAGCTGTCTGAGCCTGGAGAGGCCCCTGAACGCACCAGGGCCCAGGGAGGTCAGCTTGTTATAACTGAGGTCCAGCTTCTCCATGTTGTCCAGAAACAGGAAGCTGACGGGAAAATCACAAATAAAATAAAATAAAATAAATAAAATAAAATAAATAAAATAAAATAAATAAAATAAAATAAATAAAATAAAATAAATAAAATAAAATAAATAAAATAAAATAAATAAAATAAAATAAATAAAATAAAATAAATAAAATAAAATAAATAAAATAAAATAAATAAAATAAAATAAATAAAATAAAATAAATAAAATAAAATAAATAAAATAAAATAAATAAAATAAAATAAATAAAATAAAATAAATAAAATAAAATAAATAAAATAAAATAAATAAAATAAAATAAATAAAATAAAATAAATAAAATAAAATAAATAAAATAAAATAAATAAAATAAAATAAATAAAATAAAATAAATAAAATAAAATAAATAAAATAAAATAAATAAAATAAAATAAATAAAATAAAATAAATAAAATAAAATAAATAAAATAAAATAAATAAAATAAAATAAATAAAATAAAATAAATAAAATAAAATAAATAAAATAAAATAAATAAAATAAAATAAATAAAATAAAATAAATAAAATAAAATAAATAAAATAAAATAAATAAAATAAAATAAATAAAATAAAATAAATAAAATAAAATAAATAAAATAAAATAAATAAAATAAAATAAATAAAATAAAATAAATAAAATAAAATAAATAAAATAAAATAAATAAAATAAAATAAATAAAATAAAATAAATAAAATAAAATAAATAAAATAAAATAAATAAAATAAAATAAATAAAATAAAATAAATAAAATAAAATAAATAAAATAAAATAAATAAAATAAAATAAATAAAATAAAATAAATAAAATAAAATAAATAAAATAAAATAAATAAAATAAAATAAATAAAATAAAATAAATAAAATAAAATAAATAAAATAAAATAAATAAAATAAAATAAATAAAATAAAATAAATAAAATAAAATAAATAAAATAAAATAAATAAAATAAAATAAATAAAATAAAATAAATAAAATAAAATAAATAAAATAAAATAAATAAAATAAAATAAATAAAATAAAATAAATAAAATAAAATAAATAAAATAAAATAAATAAAATAAAATAAATAAAATAAAATAAATAAAATAAAATAAATAAAATAAAATAAATAAAATAAAATAAATAAAATAAAATAAATAAAATAAAATAAATAAAATAAAATAAATAAAATAAAATAAATAAAATAAAATAAATAAAATAAAATAAATAAAATAAAATAAATAAAATAAAATAAATAAAATAAAATAAATAAAATAAAATAAATAAAATAAAATAAATAAAATAAAATAAATAAAATAAAATAAATAAAATAAAATAAATAAAATAAAATAAATAAAATAAAATAAATAAAATAAAATAAATAAAATAAAATAAATAAAATAAAATAAATAAAATAAAATAAATAAAATAAAATAAATAAAATAAAATAAATAAAATAAAATAAATAAAATAAAATAAATAAAATAAAATAAATAAAATAAAATAAATAAAATAAAATAAATAAAATAAAATAAATAAAATAAAATAAATAAAATAAAATAAATAAAATAAAATAAATAAAATAAAATAAATAAAATAAAATAAATAAAATAAAATAAATAAAATAAAATAAATAAAATAAAATAAATAAAATAAAATAAATAAAATAAAATAAATAAAATAAAATAAATAAAATAAAATAAATAAAATAAAATAAATAAAATAAAATAAATAAAATAAAATAAAATAATGCGGGACAGTCGGGCACCTGTTTGTAGGAATATAACTCAGATGGTTGTGCTCCAGGCGGAGCTCCTTCAGGGCCAACAGACTGGTGGAGAAGTCGGCAGGGAGAGACGTCAGCTGGTTCCAGCTCAGGTCTAACTTCTCCAGGAAAGACAAGGAGAAAAAAACCTGCGAAGAAAAATGGAAGAATGTTTGTTTTCTCATCTCCTTACCCAGGTGTCGGCCTTGGTTATTTTTAAGTTTGTTTTTTTACCTGTGGTTGGAGAACCTGTATGTGGCTGTTCTTCATCACCAGCACTCGCAGGGACCAGAGTCCAGCGAAGGCTCGGGGGGGGGGCTTCTCCCAGCTCCAGTAGCCAGGTACCGGGTGGGATGCCCCTGGGAACGCGCTGGAAGCCACGACCACGACAGTCCCCCAGGTCGGCGTGCTCGTAACAAGCACAGTCACGTGGACACCTGTGAGAACCCTGGACTAAAGAGTAGAAGAACGGAGGTGGAGGGAGGGCAGTGAGAAAGAAGAGCAGAGCAGAGAGGGGGAGATGCATGTTTCCTCCAGGGGGGAGTTCTTCAATGTTGTAGGTTTGTTTGGTAGTTTAACTCCGATGTTGCCTCTTCTGCCCAGGGACGGAATTTCTCCAGGATGGAGGAAAACCTGAAGAAAAAAAAGGAAATTTTTTATTTATAAAAAATAGTATATATATAGTATATATTTTTTCATTTCTACCTGGACCAACGCTCCTGACTTTGAGAAGCTGCACTTTGACGGATTTGGCATCATCTAGTGGTGAAAATATAAATCGCGTGTGAATAATTATCACTTTAACATTGTCATAAAAACAGGAGTTAACCGGTTTCATTTTTGTCACACATTTTTGTCTGATCAGTTTTTATCAGCGATTTGTGTCATTTTTCAGCTTGAGCACATGTGATACATAATCATAGCTATTAAAGAAAAGCAGATTAAAGGATTAATGCAGTGAAAATCCCAGACGATTTCGATGTGTATTAACTTTGAAAATAATATGATTTGAGCGTAATTTGAAAATTATTAAAAATTTAATGAGTATAGTTTTGTCAGTCACTGTAATTAGAAACAAAGGATTTGAAAAAAATAAAATGCCAACAATTCACTTTTTTACTAAAGTAACAAAATAAAAACAAATGACATGTAAACTGTTTTCTTTTTTTTTCAATGTAAAAGTGAATATTATTCGATGTGTCAGTTATGTGTCAGTAACTCACCTGTCCTGCTGCTGAGACCTAGGAACAGCGCCATCCTGAACCATCAACCTCTACCTGTCGGCTGACTTCACTGACTGCAGCAGAGTGAGTGATGATGGGGGACAGAGACGACGGGACCGAGGACAGTGATGCTGGTGGAGACTCTGAGTGCAGTCAGCTGCCTCTATAATCCTCTAATCCAGAGCAATCACCAAATGTTTCCTCCCATCACTCCGTTTGGATTTCTGTCTCACTCTTTTCCTCTTAATGCCAGCAGGGATCCGTCCATCCTTCTGTTTGACAGAATTAAATATTACGTAAATCCTTAAACGGCTTGTGCAGAATTTGTGCATTTGTCAGAGGACTGACTGGAGGTTTAAGTAGACAATAAAGTGCGGGACTTGACATGGAAACATTGGTGTTTTTTTCTAAATATTAATAAAGCTAAATACTATTTAAGCACAGTTATATATATATATATATATACTATCTTAAGAATGCACTGTAGCGCTTCCTGATTTCTAAATGTGGGTTTCACATCACTTACCGGTAGGTGGCAGCACCTGCCATTGAAATGCGGCAGTGCTCCTTTTTTAGGTTATTTTAGAGTCTTGTACCGAGAGTTACAACAACACTGTTTTTTCTAAACAGTGCAGGATAAACCAGAGTCGGATTCAGGCTCGTGAGACAGACGAATGATACTTAATCATTTATTTGTTCACTGTACGGTGTATTTTTCGTTGTAAAACACATTGATATATTTATTAACGTCGAACATAATGTTATATGATATGGAACATTATCTTTTACATTTTTTCTTACGACCGTATCCTACCAAACATTTAATCTTTTCGAAAATTAGCGCTTACATGAACAACACAACGTAACACCGGAAGCAGGAAATGTAACGACTGCGCATGCGCAAAACTATGTGGACGGGTAGTGTAGATGTTGACATATTAAACAGTATGTAAGGATTCTATCGTAGTATTGAAATAATTGGAGCTACACCGAGCAGCGTTTGTGTTGTTGAATTTACAGTTATTTAATGTAACTAAGTACTTTCTTAGTGACGCAGTCTGAAGTGACAGCAACAGCAGAGAGAGGCAGGTAAGTTGAACTCCAGTGTCCAGCAGTTTACCTTAACAACGTTGTTTAACCTTAATTCTAAAAAAATATATAAAGTTACATAAATTTGAGCAAACATCGAGTAAAACCGTTTTAATAATGCATTTGTGTAGGACTGAAAATTGGCTGTGAATGTAATAGACTGTGGAGATGAGTCTATGAAAGATGTCTCATCGTGAGAAAATAATATTTGATATTTTTAATGACTGACATGTAAAATTATTCAAATTTTAATTTATACACACACACATTTTAGTCTTCCTGTATCGTCTTACCTACTTTACCTACCTGTTGGGTTTGTGCAGCAGCCATGGCGCAGACCGGAGCTCACCTGACTTCTACGGCTGTGAACGAGCTGCCGTCGGTGTTTGAGGTTCTGGCTCAGGAGTCTCTGATGGACGGACTCAAACCTGCACTGAAACACGCTGTGAAGGTCAGACATGAAGAGCTCTTCAGTCCAAGTCTTCTCAGATGTGGCCTACAGCCGACTGTGGTTCAGACTTTCTATAAACAATGCAGTTAAAATAACAGCGCACTTTTTTGCCCCTAGGTTCTGGCAGAGTCCAATCCGTCCCATTTTGGTTTCCTGTGGCGGCACTTTGATGAGCTCTACCTGCTGCTGGACCTCCTCCTACAGAACCACTTCCTGTCACACTGCAGCGCCTCCTTCTCTGAGAACTTCTACGGCCTGAAAAGAGTGTCCGGCGGGCGGGGAGCTCCTCTTCACCTCAGCCTTCACAGGAAGTCACACTGGCGATCCCTCCTGCTGTTGTGCGTGGTGCCGTACCTGCGGGCCAAGCTGGAGGCCACGTTGGCAAAGCAGAGGGACGAGGAGGACTTTTCCATCCAGTTAGCACGCAGCAGGAGCCAGAGGTTGTACAAGGCGGCGGTGGCGGCGTATCCGTACGTCAGCTCGGCCTGGCAGTCCTGGGTCTTCTGTCAGCAGCTGCTCTTTATTTTTGGATTCACAAAGACTCACAGTCCTCTGCTGTGGTTGGCCCGGGTCAGACTGGCACGACTCAGTGCACAAGACATCAGAGACATGGAAATGAAGACCAGCAACGGTGGCAACCTTGTTGACAAGAGGTACACGACAAACACAAATAGTTAAAAAATAAAAATAAACACAAAAGTAGTAGATCGGATTTGAGTACAATAACCCAGAATGCATTGTTCCTCTATTTTGCAGCCTGGCTCAGAGGGTCTGGTGGTTGATGTCACGTGCGGCGAGGGGCGTGGCCGTGTCCCTCTCCACCTCCCTGTCCCTGGGCGTCTTCTTCCTGCAGTTCTTGGACTGGTGGTACTCCTCAGACAACCACAGCACAGTGAAAGCTCTCACCTCCCTGCCCGTTCCTCCACCCCCCCTTCACCTGCAGGAGGAGCACAGCGGCAGCAGGGAGTCGCCGGTCGTCCAGGGTAAAGAGTCCGTGCGTGGCTGTGACGGCAGGAGCTGCCCGCTGTGTCGGAAGCTGTGCACGAACGCCACGGTTCTGTCCACCTCTGGCTTCGTCTTCTGTTACCGCTGCGTCTACATGTACGTGAAGGCGAACCGCCACTGCCCTGTCACGGGGTATCCTACTGAACTGCAGCACCTGGTCAAGATTTACGCACCTGAGAGTTGAACCACTGCACTCGCACCTGTACTAATCGCCCACAGGTGGCGCTCATCTTAAAGAAATAAAACTGGAGAATTGTCAAGAGGGACTTTCCTGCACTTTTGAGAAAAAAAAAAAAATCTGACAAAATCCATCTGCGTTCTCCTGTTGCACAGATGACTTTACCTTATAACTGGACTTCTTCTTCTATAAATTCCAGCTACAGTGCCTCCTTGTGGCTGAAATACTGAACGTTGTTTAACCATATGCTGTAATGCAGACATTTGTTGTGCCTTTTTGATCTTCCTGGATATGTGCAAATATAATGGTAGAAATGTAAATTTGTTAAATGTATTTTACACTAAAATATTTTAAAAAATAAATAAAAAAAGATAAAATAATTTTTTTTAGTGGTTCAATTATATTTACAGTTTTACATTGTCAAGCAGTAGGACTGATTCAGTCGAGTTCAGAACTTTGGTTCCGTCAGTGAACCCAGACGTACAGCACATCCACATCAACCCCCACCTCACACGCCTCCTGGTGGGTGACGCTCATAATCAGGACGAGTGGATGAAACCGTCAGTGAATTGCTTTATTGAATTTCCAGACAAGTTTAACAAGAGGCCCACTTAAAAAAACAAAACAAAACAAAACAAAAAACAAACATTAAAAGTTTCAACGTCACAAAAGTACAGTGCGACCGATTGCAAAGGGGCTTCAAACAAATGTCCACAAACCCTGCAGTGAGACTGAGTGTGAAGATCGACAAGAGTCACGTTCCCTTTATTTAAGCTCTTGTTACGCGACCCGTCGACAGTGAACTAGGACGAGGAGATAAAAACCAAACAGACTGAAAGGGACAAATATCATCAGTAATAGTCACAGTAATAGATTGCTCAAATAGCCGGTATTGCACATGTGTACACAATATGCACTTCTATATATACATGTGAGTCAGCATCAAACACAAATCGTCGCAACGTGAAAGAGTCCAGAGGGAAAAAAAGAACGTTGGAGAATAATCAGGAATGTGCTTGTGATCAGTCCCAAAAAAAAAAACAAAACTGTTTTTAGAGTGTTCTGAAACACAGGGGGCGCCAGTCACCGTGGTGCTGAACCTCCTCCGTCCTGCACCAAATCTCAACCAATCACAGCAGGACACTACGGTTACACCACAGAGTTAATGTGAAAGGCTGAAACGTCGACTACTCAACACCTTGAGTACATGACACTGACGTTGTTGTTGCCCACACGACACTTCTGTTCCACTTCATCAATCACGTGCCGTTTGGTAACCGACCGTGGACCGAATGTCAGAAGTGGACGCAGCCGCTCAATTTCAAAGCCACGGTAAACTTTCAGAACTTCCAGATTGACAAATGAAATCTGACGACGATCGACTGGTCCAGCTGTAGATCACACGTGATGTGCTTTTCAAATCGTTTTCCTCTAAACAGGATCATAAGATGTAATAAACCGACAACCGTTCTATTAATGAACTAGGTATTAGGAGCACTTTGGAAATGTTGATTAAAAAATTCACGTCAACAGAGAACGACTCCATCCATCCCACAGTCTGTAACAGTTTTCATGCTGTTAACGAACCAATCATTACAAACAAACGTTAATGTGTTGATAGGAATTCACTTTCTCATGTGTGAAAAATAAATCTGTTCTTTAAAGAAAAGACCCAACGATTGATGTTTGACAAGAGGAGGAAGTTGTCGTGTCCGGGAACCACACTTGGCCCGTGGGCCACATCTTGGAAAACCCTGCGATTCGTAGCTTGTCGGATGTTACTACAGTTCAATATCGTTTGGATCTTCAACCAACACCAAATCCCTGTCCATTTCAAACCCACCAACAACCTCAGACATTTGTCCAGATTAATGATGAAAACAGGTGAGAAACACTGACCTCTAGCTGTTGATGTTGGTATTTTTGTTTCAGCGATTTATAAAGGAATGTTGATGAATCTTAAATAATGGCAAGTAATCATGATTAATCACAAATAATTATGATTACTCACGTGATTAATCAGATTAAAAATTCTATTTTTTTTACAGCCCTGTAAAGTCACAGATGTAAGTATCAAACATTGTTGATGTTTTTTTTCTATTAGCTGTCTGAGGTGCATTGTGGGAAACAAGGTAGTTCTTGTTACCTGTGTACATTAGTGTTTCAGGTTGTCACATTTGTTGACGTTATTAAATACAGACAGATGGGACGTTCTGTACTGCACAAATCATCAGTTCTGGTTACCTACACTAGTACTGTTGTTGTGACCAAAGAAGAGCACAACGGTAGCTGAGATAAAACATAGGGCTGAATGAAATAAAAAAATAAAAATAAAAATCACTGACTATAACTCTGTGCTGCTGCTGAAGACCTGGTCCTGGTTCTGGTTCTGGTTCTGCCTGAGAAACTCACTGTTCACCTCCATCATCATTATCATCATCATCATCAGCCACCAGCACTACAACAAACTGCTGCCTGTCTGTAAAAGAAACACACACACAAACAGACACGCACCCGCAGGTGGCGCTCCGACGGCATCAGTGCTTACTTCCTGTCCGACAACTAAACCGCTTAAAACATCAAATCTCCGAGAAGAATATATTCATAAATCCAATCTGATTGGATTAAAAACACTGTTTACATAAATATACGTACACGTGTATGTAGTGTGTGTGTGTGTGTGTGTGTGTGTATATAAAAATACTGTATACACCGGGCTGTGTTTTTCCATTTTTTTTTTATAAAAAAAGAAGAAAGTACTTTGTTATTTATACACATACGTATGTACAGATATAGAAAAGTGACCACACCGAGTCGTAACAACGGGCAACGAGACTGGACAGTATTTACATCGAACAAATACATTTACAATTTGGAGGCAAAGGAAAAAACAAAAAAATTGCAGCGATATCGTAAAACAATTTCTGTTACGGAGGAAGGGGACGGGCTCAGGTCACATGACTCCAGAGCAGGGGTGGGCAAACTTTTGGCTCAGGGGCCTCCCTTAGGAACGGGGGGAAAAACTAGCAACAATAAAACGTCAATCACATGACACGATCGTCCATGTACCAGACAGGAAGTCTCTCATTGGCTGTCCACTTTGGCCCACTCAGGTGAAGTGGTACAGATTTGGACCACAGTAATAGCCAACTGGGTCTGTAGTGCGCCCTCTAGTGGTTCAACTAAAAAGCTCGGTAATGCAGGATAAAGACAAAACGAAATAAGTATTTTATTTTTATCTGGACAATTTTGTGACGATGTTTGGTCGGCCAGATTAAAAAAGCCCCGAGCAATTTCTGGCCCGCAGGTCGGAAGTTTGCCCATGTCCGCTCTGGAAGGAAAAACAAAAGTGGACCAATGGTGAGGTGGTGGACAGCTGTGATGTCATGTAATCCAAATAATCACATGCTTCAAAACATTAGAGGAAACACTGTTGAACGTGAGTAAATCCTGAGACACTTTCACCACACTCCATAAAAGTCCGACTGAATATCTTTGTCCACGTCACCTCTAATATTCAACAGAGATTGTCCTGGATATTTCTAGTGTGTATTGATGGCTTCAGAGGCTGTTGGGATTAAAAAAAACAAAACAAAAAAACTGACGTGAGAATCAGAGAAAACACCGTTCTTACCGTTTTCACCTCGTTTCTACGCTGACGCTCACAATTCTCCTCCACGTCGCTCTTGAGGTTGTTGAAGAGTGAGATTAGAACAACTTAAGGCATCGAGATGAGGAAACAAAGACTGAAACATGAAGGGACTCAAACAACAGCTTGTGTGTGTGTGTGTTGCTCTTCAGTCTTGACCGGCTGGTTGGTTGGTTGGTTGTTTTGCTGAGGCTGTGATGGTGTTCTGTGGTTTCTGAATCCATGCTTTTGTTTGTTTTTTTCTGGACAAAAAAAGGCACCTAGTTCCCCCCCCTCCCCTGATCCGCCGCCTAGCTTCTCCTTTTACCCTGTTTTCGTGTTTGTAAAGGTCTCTCCGGTCCACAGACAAAGACACACAAGAGGACCAGTCGTCCACTTGGAGCCTGAGGTTTAGTCCCTTCCCCAGCAGTCGCTGTCGTTCGGTGGAAACAGAGGAGCTGAGACGACACGTAGAAACACAGAAGAATGGTTGAAAAGGTGGAGATTCAGTGGTGCTGTGTTCAGGTACACTGTGTACAGGTAGTTTACAGTTGACGTAGTGTGTGTGTGTGTGTGTGTCCCCGCTCACACTCCTCTCCTCCTGTTCTACTGGAGATGCTAACAAGTCGTCTGCTCCTCCCCGGGGCAGAAAACCTTTCAAGAAAGTGGCCTCACAGCCCCGCCTTCTCTCGCCTCCAAAAAGTTCCCCTCAGCCAATCGGAGTTTTCCACAATGGCACAAACCCCTCCCCCCCATCCGTGTGTGTGAATCTACACAGACTCCGTGGAGGAAGAAGAAAAAGAAGAGGAGGTGCTAGAAGGAGTTAAATGTGAACTTTTGTGTGCTTCCTGTTTAGGCTCCTCCCCCTACAACACAGGCTCTTCCTCCATTGGCTCCTCTGCTGACCTGTGGGTAGTTCAAAGACAGCCATTTAATTTACCATAAAAAGTAACAAGAACAATATTATTTTATAATCATGATCTTTTTTTGAGGAAAACAGACAACAAAGCAAGCTTAGCTTAGCTTAGATTATCTTAGCTTAGCCAAACAGTCAAAGCAGTGATGGATTATTAACCTGAAACCTAAAGATCTCACATTTTTTTATATATGTTTACCTGCTGGTTTCTGCGCTGCCAGGGTCGGAGCCCGGCTGTTCCACGTCCACAGTCAAGGAGGCCATGGCGCTGACTGTTTCTGCCTCATCCTTCTCTGATTGGCCCTGAGCACCGAGGGGGCTGTCCAGTGTCTGGGACAAACTCTGAAGGCATGACCAGTGTTTGCCTACAGACCAGGAACAAAAAAAAAGTTAAAACAAAACTTACTATATCAAAATTCAAAGTCAAAATATTATTTTCACTTATTAGCCCATGTCTGCCCCCTAGGGGACATAAAGATAAAAACCAACATCACAGCTAACGTTCATGCTCAGCACTGATGTTGTCTTTAACACTGATTTAATTTGTTTTTAATATCTTACACCGAAAGTATTTTAACGACCGAAAAGTACCGAATTCCTCCACTAGATGGCAACAAATCTATGTTTTTCATGTCATGGGTGAATGGTGAGTGTGATCATCTTACTCTGGATCTCTATCACTCTCTCCAGTGAGGCACAGGCTTTTGGACATGGCTTCTCCGGGGGCCACTGGAACGATGCATCACACTGAGAGTGTGAGAGTGTGTGGGTGTGTGTGTGTGAGAGAGAGAGATAGAGAGAGAGGGAGAGAGACATGCCAAAACATGACAATTATTAACCATTCAAAAACCTTCGTCTTCTTTTAAAACAAATAACACCTTATGAGTACATGACATCATCTGAAGCCGGTTCCACTCCTGGACCACAGCTGCGTCCACACTTAGTTCTTGTGACAATTTTTTTTTTACTGGCTGCTGGATCCATCGGCGGAGAGACAACAGCATCGACTCGGAGTCGGAATTTAAATCTTGAACTGAATAACAGTTCAACCTTTTCCACATCTCACCGAGTCGCCGAGAAGCGCGGACACACAGGCTTCTGATGCGTCACAGATGGCGGTGAGTTCGTGACCCCCCTCCAGCGCCATAACAACACGCCCACCTGCCAGACCCATCAGCAGTTGCGTCAGTTCACCGAAACCTGATGACACACACACACACACACAGACAGACAGAGTGAGGCGCTACAGTGTTTATGCGTCAGTCAGACAACAAGCAGAAATGAAGCCTCACATTTGGCAGAAACATTGTAGCCCCCCAGAGGAGACTGGTGACCCTCCACTGCATCGAAGCCTGCAGACACCAGGACCACATCTGGGCCAAACTGCTGGGCGATGGGCATCACCACGTTCCTGTGCACACACACACACACACACACACATTTAGAAATGTGTTTGTTTTTTTACGTAAAAGTTGAATCAAATGATGAGGGAAAAAAAACAAGAACGAGATCAGGAACAGTGTTCACCTGAAGGCAGTCAAATACTCCACATCACCCATAGGGGGCTCCACTCCTCCAGTCCATGCTATATTTACATTGAAACCAACACCTGCTCCTGAGCCGACCTGAAAAACGTGAACACAGATGTAAAGTGATTTTAACTTTTCGATTTCTCAGAGTGAATTTGATCAAACTGTAAAAATGGTTTCTTTCGTTGTTACCTCTTCAGGAGCTCCACTTCCTGGAAAGAAGTTTCCATTGTCGTACCGATGGAGGGAGATGTAGAGGACGTTGGGGTCAGTGTAGAAGGCCTGCTGGGTTCCATTTCCATGGTGAATGTCCTAAAGTGGGGGGGGCAGAGGAGTCAGCCTGAAGGACACTGCAGTATATTTATATTTATATGTCTATATTTACACAGCCTTGTCAATGATGATTAAGTCAAAGGACTGGAAAGGTCCAAACTTGGTCCTGATTCTATTTAAAACTCACTGTGAGCTCAAAGAATGCTGGGAAAAAACCCCCCCAAAAAAATAAAAACCCTGACATTTCTGATACACCTGAACTCTTACTGTTCAACAACACCAGTTCATAACAACACCGTCAAAGGCCTGTGTGACACGTGAGGTCGAAATGATGTTTCAAAATAAAAAAAAAAACTCAGGAAACAACATGTTTTTCTGACATGGACAAAGATTTGTTCAGGGAATTCCGTGGACTTGGCTCCATCAAACTTTGTGCTTCAACAGTGAATATTCATTTGACTGGGGGGGGGGAGGAGGGCACTCACCCAGTCCACGATGAGGATCTGTTGTCATTCTCTTCAGACTCTGTGTTCTGATGGAAGGTCAGTCCTGGCAACAACAAAAACATCTGACTGTGCAGCCAAATGTTCTGTTCTTCAAACACACTGGGAGGTGGAGAGGGTCGTGGGCTGAAGGAGGGACCGCTAGAATGTGGAGCAGGTCTGACCAGAGTTTCTGGGCTCAGTCAAAGTGTTTGCAGATCTGTGCTGTGGGGGGGGGGCACTCACCCAGTCCACGATGAGGATCTTGCCCACACCCAGCTTCTGCTGCAGCAGCTTGGCAGTGATGGCGACTGAATTAAAGAAACAGAAGCCCCTGTTCACACACACACACATACACACACATACAGGGTCATGTATAAACTGACATAACTCATATGTGTGTATTCAATGTGTTTCATCAGGGCTGCTAAACTTCTGGCCCGGGGGCCACTTCTGCGGACGAACTCACATGGCCGTGGACTCCTCGGCGTGATGACCCGGGGGTCGCACCACAGCGAAGCCATTCTGGATCAGAGGGACAAACCAACAGTCAGTGAACTGACAGGTCACGTGACCCCGGACTCTGTGACGGTCAGATTTTTTTGCCCCGTTACCTTCAGCTCTCCTGCGGCCACTCTGAAGGCCAACTCGATGACCGAACCCACCGCCATGCGGACCGCTGCTGATGAGTGCATCTCATTCCACACGGTGTCGCTGTCCACCTGCAGGGGGCAGCACAGGACTCGAGTTGGAGGCTGAAAGCCAGGAGGGGGCAGAGAAAAAAATGGGGGGGGGGCAGAAATATCTTACCCCGATTCCTCCACAAGGAAGGACGGCGTACATCTTCTGACTGATGGGACCTGAAACAGAGGATCAACAGGTTCACACACGGAGCCGTGAAACTGAAGCGGTCTCAGTGTGAGCAGCCGCGAGGACAGACAGACCCAGCAGCTTCTTGTGGTCCAGTTTGTGTCGATTGAGCGGACTGGTTCCATACAGCAGAGTGTGGAATTCTGAATGAACAGACTGGATCTCGTCCAGAGAAGCCTTACGCCCACGAATCCTCTGCTCACACAGAGACGCAGACGGAGGGAAAAAAAAAAAGGGAAAAAGAAAAAAA